AAATATTTTTTTTTATTTTACGTTATTAGCTGAATTGTAGTATATTTTTTTATTTTTATTTTTGGCAAAATTTTTTAACATAATTTATGTTGAAATAAAGTATTTACTTTTATTACCTAATTAACTTTTTTCATTACTAAAATTTAAAAATTCTTAAAACTATAAAAAAATACTTGAATATAAAGCTTAAAATAATCTAAAAATGCGTAACTAATCAAAATAATATTAACGACATTCTTTGGAATCAAATTAGAGAACAAAATATTTTTGTCCACCTAACTTATATAAGGCGATTCACTGTGCTACGTTTAGAAAACATCTTTTTACCTCCTGTATGTATGTATGTATGTATGTATATATATATATATATATATATATATATATATATATATATATATATATATATATACAGTACAAAACAAAAGTCCGTATATATATATATATATATATATATATATATATATATATATATATATATATATATATATATATATATATATATATATATATATATATATACGGACAAAGCAAGTGCAACCAAATAATGCTAATTTAGTTTCTTTATATAAAAGTGCTGCGTTTTTTTAAATTTAGAGAAATAACTATGTAACTGTTTAGAGACAACGTTCTTCAAGTTTTATTCATTACAAAGTTCATTATTTGTACACAAAAATTAATAAATTAATCAAAAGTATTATTTGTGGCGAATCCTTTGTTGTCGATCACAGCCTTACATTTTCGAGGCATAGATTCGATCAGGTAATCAATGAAACTTTGTGGAATTGCTGTCCAGGCCTTTTGGATTTGTTCAAACAGTTGATCCTTATTACGAACACCTTCACGATTAATTCTGTGGTTGACGATCTCCCACAGGTTCTCGATAGGGTTGAGATCCGGAGATTGAGGCGGCCAATCCATCACAGATAGGTGTTTGTCTTGAAACCACTGCTTTCAGGATATTTTTATACATGAAACGGTCCATTATTCCATCAATTCGATGTATTGGACCTAGACCGTTAGCAGAAAAACACCCCCAGACCATTACATTGCCTCCACCATGCTCTACGGTTTTATGGCAGTAACGTAAATCGAGACGTTTTCCGGCCGGTCAACGTACACGACAAATGCCATCGCTTCCAATGATGTTGAACTTCGATTCATCACTGAACAGGACAGCTCGCCATTTCGGCACATTCCAGTCAATATGAAATGTAGCAAACAGGAGTCTTTTCTTCTGGTTCTTTAGTGTAATCAGCGGTTTTCTTTGCAGGGCGTCGAGAAAACAATCCGGCTTCAACAGCACGTCGTCTGATTGTCTGGTCCGATACAGGCAGCTATAATTGCTTTTGTATCTCGACTGATGATATCCAGGGATCCTTCTTGACGGATCTGACGATCATAGAACCCTCTCTAGAAGTGATGGAACGCGGTCTTCCACCTTTGTTATCTGCTGCCAACTTCCCCGTAGAACGATATTTGGAAGATAGTCTTGATACGGTCTATTTTTTCAGGCGATATATATCACAAACACTTTTTTGTAATTCTAGATGCTTCTTTTCGATGCTTCTGGAAGCTTCTGGATTTGTCTGGATGCTGCTAAATGTTTTTGGAAGCTTCTGGATGCGTCTGGATGCTGCTGAATGTTTCTAGATACTTCTGGATGCTTCCAGATGCTTCTTCTGGAAACTTCCTTTAATTATCAAAAAACTTCCGTGACGTTCACACGGATTAAAGAAAATGAAAAGAACCAAAAAAGTTGCACTTAATTTGTCCGCTGCAAAATGGCACTTTTCAACCAAATTCTATCTGTGTGCTGTCACCTGTCAGCTGATTGCTCATGTAATGGCATGCTATGACTTCAGAATCCTGAACTGTTTGCTGTGGTAGTATAGTTCGTTTCGTTTTTAAGACATTTAGGATTGTTTGATGTATATATGTGTATATATGTATATATATATATATATATATATATATATATATATATATATATATATATATATATATATATATATATATATATATACATACATACATACATATATATATATATATATATATATATATATATATATATATATATATATATATATATATATATATATATGTATATATATATATATATATATATATATATATATATATATGTATATATATATATATATATATATGTATATATATATATATATATATATATATATATATATATATATATATATATATATATATATATATATATATATATATATATATATATATATATATATATATATATATATATATATATATATATATATATATATATATAGGGGCAACATGGCGAACGTTTTGAAAGCCCTGAGTTATTGCAAAACTATCAGTCGTGAAGCAATAATATTTTCTCAGTATGTTTATGTTATTAAAATCCTTCATTGCCTGCATGAATTTTTAGTATGCAAATATAACAATTTGAAATAAATATTAAAATAAAAAGTTCATAAATTTGTCATCTGGTCACGTGACCGAGGCAAGATGACTTATTATGCAATTTTTACCTCCAATTTTATAAAATTTTAAAAACTATTAATAACTCTAACTAAAGTAACAAAAAATAAACACAATTTGCAAAAAACTACTTCTAAAGAAGTTAAACTTGATATATATATATATATATATATATATATATATATATATATATATATATATATATATATATATATATATATATATATATATATATATATATACACACATATTAATAACTTTTATTTTCATTATGTCATGTTTGGGGTAAAACTAATAGGACTGTTTTTTCAAACATAAAGTTTACCAGTTATTTTAATTTTTCATTTAGATTTAAGCAAAACGGTAAAAATCTATTACAAATTTTACAAGCAATATCTATGCCAATGTTATGACATGCGAGTTCCCAGAAAAGCACAATTTACTCTGATTAAAAAAAAATAATGAATTTTTTTTTTTTTATAGTATGGTTTTCTGAACCCATCCTTAAATTGTTTTCTTTCTTTTTTTTACGGCACTATGCCACCATTACGGCACTATGCCACCAGCACATTTAATTATTAAATGAGCTGGTGGCATAGTGCACTTGTCTAAAGATGTATTAGATCCAGAAGTATGGAAAATCGTAATAAAAAACAAATTTTCAATTTGAGAATTGGTCCGCCAATCTGAGATAGTTACAATATTGTTAATAATATTAACAATAATATTAACCCGATAGTTACAATATTACTCATGATATGTTACCTTATGTAGTTATAAAGTTCATAAAAATATCAATAATTTAAATTAGTTTCGGAATATCAAAAAGTCATCAAGAATGAATATAAACTCAAAAAAGTTTTAGGGTTATTAGTTGGTGTTACAGCTGTAGTTGCTATAAAAATAGTTTCATAAAAATTAGGTATAGCGATGTAATTGTTTTTTAACTCTTTGTTTAAGCGCTTTGTCAAAACTATTGACAGCGTAGAACAATGTTTTGTTCTAATAAGATGAATTTTTTTGAAAAAATTAGTCATTTAAAAGAGTACACTTACAGCACATTTAGAAGAAATATCCATATTTCGAATTTCGTATAAATTTTAAATCAAATTATTACAATTTAATTTCTTAAAATGTTGTTCATACTAATCCCCAAAAGTCTCGTATATTAAAACTATATATTATAACAAAACGGAACTAAAAATAAACCTTATTAAAATATTTGTGACTTCCGTGAGCGATCAAATAAACAGATATTAAAAAATATTAAATGATTTCAGGTGTGTTTTCTATAAAACGAGGACTGAATTGCAGCAACGACTACTGGAATTAAAAGAAATTATCGTTGTTGTTCCATAAAATGGAACAACGACGATTAAAAAATAACGATATAAAAATATATTTCTAACACTATCATTATTTATAATAAATTATAAAATTATTTTTTAAAAACAACTACAATTAAATTAAAGTAACAAAAATAGTACTAAACTTGAAGAAATATCTTTAGAAATTTTGTTTAAAAAAATAACAATGAATTCAGAATAAAACTTTAACGATTAAAGTTTACCGAGTGGATTGGTTTTCTTTGCTTTATAAATTGATGGCACAGACCCGCGTTAGATTTAATTAGAAAATTAATTAAATTTTTCTTTGATAAATTAGTCCAATTAGGTAGGTTAAAAAGTTATATTACTAAAATGATTTTTTCTAAATAAAGTTCTAAAAACTTTACCGAATAAACTTTTTTTAAATGTACTTTTTGTTTATAAATTCTTTCTTTTGATCTTTGTTCTGTGAAGTAGCATTTCAATAAATAATTACTCCAACCGACATGTGCTAAACCTTATTGTTTTTTTATATGTAAAAACAATAAAGTTTACAAGTGATTGGTGCGGTTAATGAAAGAGCTAAACTTTGATTCGTGCGGTTTACTAGTCAAAAAAACATGACGTTGAGAGGTCGCTTTACAATTAAAAAACCGCAATTGCGTTCGGTTCTTTTGATGTTAGAAGTACAAACCTCAATCTGTTGAATTTTTAAAATAACACAAAAATGGGCTCCAAGATTTAAATTTGTTTTGAAAAGTTTGTAATGGTTATGATTTTTATGCAGCCTTTTTTATGGTAATATTGGATCTTGAATTTTAAAAGAACTTAAGTAAATATAATGAACAAACTTGCTTGTTTACAAAGAAATATCGCAATGTTTAAGACATCGCTCGACAACTTTAGTGTATTGATTAGAAAATTCGGCTTTTTGTTATTAGAGTCAAAATCCTAATTTAAACATGTACGTTAGACGCCAGTTTTATTTAACGCTGAAGAAATGAGTTAGTAAGCGAAGCGTTTTATATTATAAAGGCAAGCGATGTGTTTGACTAAAACGAGAATTCCGAAATTTTAGTTTTAGAATTAAAATTAACAGTAAAACTTGTGTATTTAGAAATTGTTAAATTTTTTTGTAACACTTTGCTTATTCAATTTTTTTTTATTTTGTTTTATAATTTTTTTCTTCTAGTAAACAAACGGCTAACGTTAAAAAATGCTAATCGAATGGTGAATTAATTCTAGACTTTTTTTTAATGTATTTTCAGTTACATAAATGTCTTCAACTGCATTAAGACCTACACCGATGGGTTCAGAAGCAGTAACAATAAATTTTGAAGAAAAATCACTGAAATCAAATATAAATAATAAAAGCAAGGTGGCGAATATGCATTATATTAAAGAGAATGGATCTTATTGTGAAAACTTTAATAATACGAGCTATCCTAACTTTGAAAAATGGAAAGATAACTTTCAGGTTCTTTTAGAAGATGAAGAGGGAATGAGAACGTTTTATGAATTTTTAGGAACTGATCAGATATCTGTAATATTTGATTGTTGGTATTCGTGTAAAACGTATCGTAAGCGACTTCCAAATAAAGCTGCCGCAAAAGAGGTATATTCTCGTTTCGTGCGTATTAAAGATTCTAGAGTGCCAATTTCCGATCAAGCTCGAAATAATCTCGCACTTCGATTACGCGCTAACGATATTACTGAGACTTTATTACTTGAAATCGAACAAGAAATTTTTGCAAATCTTCGAGATGTTTGTTATCCAAAGTTTTTAAAATCAGACTTTTTTACATTTTACTGTGAAACAAACGGACAAGTAGCACACATCCCTAGTGAATTTCATCGATTAAATCAAGGAGTTATAAGCAAGATGCAACACAATTTACCAACACTTACTGAAGATTATGCGGACATTTATCATACTCAGGCAAGGTAAATCTCTGCCTTTTTATGATCTGGATTATTTGCTTTATAATATGTTATCTTATATATGTATGCATCTACATATACATTCATAAAAGTATGTATATGTAGATATGTATGTATGTACAGCGGTAAACACTGGTTTTGTCGAGAGGGCTTGAATAATTTAGAGTTCGCTATTGTTTATGTATGTTTGTTTATATATATATATATATATATATATATATATATATATATATATATATATATATATATATATATATATATATATATATATATATATATACATATATATATATATATATATATATATATATATATATATATATATATATATATATATATATATATATATATATATATATATATATATATATATATATATATATATATATATATATATATATATATATATATATATATATATATATATATATATATAACTTAAAGATTCTATATTTTAAGTTTAAATCTTACAATGTTTACATTTAAAAGACAATTGAACCTTTAATAGGAGATTAGCTGATTCAAAGCAAGTAACAAACTAAACAAAGAAATTCATTTACTTAAAATCGGTTTTAAACTCAAATGTATATTTTTTTAATATGAAGCAATGATAGCTAGGTGACGCAAGCAAATTAAATAAAAGAACGCGCCTTAAGGTATCAATTTGGTATTACGTGTAATTCATTAGATTCAGCGCCGTAAAACTTGTCAAACAAGATTTTCATTGAAAGTAAACTGTACTAAATTTTTTGCGCTTTATATAATTATTTAAAAAAAAAACAACCAAATGCGATAGCATATTTGTTTTAATACTTACAATTCCAATTAATGGTTTTATAAGTATTACATTAAATTTTCCTTTAAAACCGCTTAAACAAATTCTTAAATTGCAAATTAGTTCCTCGTCTTTTTTTCGTGCATGATATTTGCGAGGCGCCAATTCGCAATTTAGAACGTTTATATATCAAAGACTTCCATTTGCACCGTTTAAAATTCTCTTTGAGAGTAATCCATTTTCATGATACCTGTAATGTCGGAAAACAAAAAAGCGGTGCGCTTTTTGTGAACTTCGCAACTCTTCTTTGAATTCTTTAAAGAATAAGTTAGGCAGATTTTTTGGCGAAATGTTTGTAGGAAGTTCTTATACTTCTAATATTACCGTTTACCAAGAACTGTTAAGTTGCACTTGTTGTAATGCTGATTAAATTTTGAGTCTTGTGTTATGGACATGGAGTTAACTTCAAAACGTCTGCTCTGATATTTCAAAAATTATTATGCAAGTTGTTGTTAGAAATAATATGCGCAATGCGATTTCTGCACTCGTGTTGCTGAAAGCTGATAGGTAACTTCCAAAGAAAGTAAATAAATAAAATTTACGCTAGTATTTTGAATATGAAAGCAAACAGCAATCATTGTTTTATAATTGAAGTAACCATTATTTTTCTAAATATATTTTTTTAACATTTAAACATTTTTTTAGCGGTTTTATAATAATAACTTAGGTATATACTTTTTTTATATCTATCTTAAGTTTTTATTTATCGAAGAATTAGAGTAAAATTAATGGAAATAAAAGATATAATTTCTATCAATGATCTGGAAAGGTACATTCATGTCATACAGTTATATATATATATATATATATATATATATATATATATATATATATATATATATATATATATATATATATATATGTATAAACCATATATATATATGTATATATATATATATATATATATATGTATATATATATATATATGTATATATATATATGTATATATATATATATGTATATATATATATATGTATAAACCATATATATATATATATATATATATATATATATATATATATATATATATATATATATATATATATATATATATATATATATATGTATAAACCATATATATATATGTATGTATAAACCATACATGTTATTTTAAAACTTTTTAAAGATTTTAAATAAATCATTTATTATCTTGCATTTATTAAATGCATAATAAGGAATTTAAATTAAGATTAAGATTTTTCAAAAGCTTTTTTTCCAAAATTATACTATACATTGATGATCAAAATCAATTTTTCAAACTAATGTTTTAATAATAACTAATTATCAAATTTGAAAAAATATTATTAGATGTAATTTTACTATAATTAGTACCTTATAAATTAAATTAAATATACTTTATCCGAAAAAGTAATTTTTAATAATCTATATAAGATTAATTTAAAATTATTTGTTTTAATCATTGTAGTATATAATAAGTGTAAACTATATATATATATATATATATATATATATATATATATATATATATATATATATATATATATATATATATATATATATATATATATATATATGTATATATATATATATATATATATATATATATATATATATATATATATATGTATATATATATATATATATATATATATATATATATATATATATATATATATATATATATATGTATATATATATATATATATATATATATATATATATATATATATATATATATTATATGTTGTTTTTAGGGAATAGCGTATGTTTGTCATGAGAATGTAGTTTAACTTTTAATTTTTTTGCAAACTTGAATAATTTTATAGACGTTACATAATATAAATTATATTATTTAGTGAATCTGGTGAAGACTTTCATCATCACTGCAATGATTATGTTCCTGAAATGCCTACTTTTCAATCGGTATAACTTAGTATTTAATGAAAGAACAATTTTTTTTTTTTGATATATTTAATTTCAATTATAAATAAAATTCTTATTTAAATTATAAATTTTGTTGTTAAATATGGTGGCAAAAATATGTAAACAATCTTTTAAAGTATTTGTCATCACAACATGATCAAAGATTTCCTATTAGATTTTATTTAATCTTGTTTGCATTAACAATGTATGAAACTTTTTAAAATAATTTTCATAAAGCAGTGGTTTTATGAAAATGTAAATTATTAAAGTTTAAGCTCCTTCAGGAACTTATTCACCATTGATTTATAAGAAAAAAAATTCATACACCCTGCTGGTGAATTAAAAACATACAAAGTCATTTTTAAAAAATAGACATGATTTGTTTCAGGACATTTTAAATATCTCCCATTTGAACACCAACATATATAGCTTTTAATACAATGCAATTAACATTTTTATTATATTTAATAGTAAAATAATATGCCTAAACTAAAAATAATTTTAAAGTTTTAGTAGTTTTTAAGGCAATTCTCATTTAATAAAAAAATTTAACCTTAAATATTTTTACTTATAATAACTTTAAAAATTATATATATATATATATATATATATATATATATATATATATATATATATATATATATATATATATATATATATATATATATATATATGTAGATCATATTTAATATGATTTAATATGCTGTCTCGATCGTAATTAAATCACCTCTTTTTTTTTTCAAGTGTAAATTATGTAAAGCAGAGTTTAAAAAATATAAATTAAATCTTAAATTTCTGATTGGTTCACAATTTAGTCTTTTCTGTTACAAAACAAGAAAATATTTCCCTAAACCAGGTTCTGTCAGCCATAAACTTTAAAATGTTTCAATGTTTGTTTTTATGTTTTAATATATATAAAAATATATTTTTATCTGTATATCATAGAAAGTCATAAAATTCTTAGTTTTTTGACTACCAAATATTTTTGATTTTTATGCTAAATATTAAATATATCTTTAGCGTACACAACGCATGGACTCAATGAAGCAACTAGCACCAGAACAATTTGCTAAATTACTTACTGAAAAACTAGAAAGGCTTTTACTTGATAGAGAAGCTGAAAATTTTACAGATGTATGTATTATTTATTTTTAATTTTAATGACATTTTTTGCATACATACACAAACAGTTTTTTCAATAAAAAAAAGAAAAAAATTTACAAAATTATATTAAACAAAAAAAAATAGTTTTTTGTTGTAATTTTCTTCCTTTTTTTACATGGATGCTATATATCCATACTACCCATCAGTTGGTGTATATAACACTAGTTTAGTAGTATTTAGTCGTATATTTTAATGTTATATAGTACTAAATCTTCTGAAATCAGCAACTTATTTTTGACTATCTATTATTTTTATAATTAGTGAACTATCAATGTTTTATCAAAAGCGCATAAAAAGAAGTCCAGTAACTTTAATTTTTAGTATTTTTCTCCAAAATCTCCCTCTTTGAAAATTTATTATAATTACATTAAACCAATGCTGCATGTTTTCATTTTAATACTAAAATAAGCAGTTTTGTAATCCTTAAAAATTACATCATACGAATATTTTGATCATTGCTAAAATTAATTTAAAACATTTTCCAATTTTAGCGATTGCTAAAGACCCTCCAACATTAAATGGGTCACTAGTTTAGAAAAAGTAATTCAAAAGTATGTTGTGTTCGCTCTTAATTAAAGCAAAATTATATAAAAATTTCAAAAATAAAAATCATTTTATAAGCAAACATGAAAAAAAAAATATTATGAAAGTCTTTTAAAATTGCTCTTTTTTCATTTTTTTAAAATAACTTAATTGAGTCAATTAACTGGAGTTTATAAAGATGAAATAGTCCTTAAAATGTAGACAATATAAAGATTCAATTATGCTGTAAAAGTTTATAATTTCTTACTGTTTTCATTTCTTTGCTCAAAAAGTATTAATTTCTTTTAGGTTTAAGGTATTATATTAAAGTATTAATATACTTTAGATAATGGATTTGTTAACTAAAAGTTTACATGTGTTGGTGGTGTAGTAGTAGAGGGCTTGCCTTGTAAGCGAGAAGATCGACTGCCATACCTAACTAGTTTGACTTAATTTTAACTTTAACTTATATGACTAAAAAAATATGAAACACAAAATACAAATTCTTGTGTGGATTAACTCCACCCCCCCCCCCACTCCTTGATGCACCTATGAGCTCGTTAAACACATACACACACAAATTAAATCTTAAAAAATATGATTTTCATACATTTTTTATCAATAAAATCGGATTCGGCAATGCCGACCATAAAGTATTTGAGGTCGGCAAATAATTGCTGACCTCGTTTCTATATTTTATGGTGAGACTTTAGTATCAAATTATTTTTGCCGACCTGATGCCGACCTCTAAAATTGAGGTTGCCAAATTATTGCTGACCTCGTTTTTCTTAATTCCGATGTTGCCGAAGCATAATTTGCCACCTAACTATCAGTGTACACCAAAGCTTTTGTCTACCGCAAATGCTGTGATTTGCCTTTTATATTCTTTAAAAGGCAATTTAGGGATTGTCCATAAATTACGTAACGGTAAATTAAATTTATAAAAGACAAAGGATTAAAAGTTTTCCCGCAGAGTCTTTAATTAAATCAAGTATGTAAACAACCTTGCAAGTCCAGCGAAAACCATTGTGCAAAAGAGCAAAATGATCTCCTTCTTATATTTTTTAAATAAGTTTTGTGTTGCATAATTTATGGACGATCGGTTCTGCTATAGGTGATGTATGACATAAAAATGCTGCACATTTTAAAATAACTTTAATGGAGGGCTTGCCATATGCAACATAATTCAATACGTTCATGCTTTTACTGGTGTAAAGTTACAAAACTGTTGGCTAAACAATTTTATATTAATAAACTAATAGAAGTTAATAACGGTTCGTTAGGAAACATTTACATACTGATATAAAATTAGAAAATCTCTGAGTCCCAACAATTTTTCACTACAGACTGGACTCCGGATTCTGGGTAAAAACAGGGACTCTGGACTCCGGACATCATCTTCGCTACCCTGTTTGAGATCCAACACAACATAATTATGAAAAATTTTTCCTATATTATTAGGGACTTGTATATGTCTGAGGCTCTGCAGCAACCCTTAAATATTTTTTGCTTAAATTTTTATAAAATCCAATGTTATTTTATTATATAAAACACATTAAAGGGGCTCCAGCTGATATTTTACAAAAATATCAGCTGGTTTTTTAAAGCAAACCAATATATATATATATATATATATATATATATATATATATATATATATATATATATATATATATATATATATATATATATATATATATATATACACACACACACATATATATATATATATATATATATATATATATATTTTTTAATTTGATTTATATATTTATTATAGCCTCAATTATTAAATCAAAATGTGTTATCATCACATGGTTTACCAATACAACGTAGTTACAAACCAGCATTAAGTGATGTAGATTCTCAATCATGGGTAATGCCACCAGCATCTGTTAGGTATAGTGTTGCTGGAGCTTCATCAACAAGTGGCTCATGTGTTAATATTGAGCAGTATCCAAAGTATCGAAACCTTGCCAAAGATTTTTTAAATGCAGTTCATCATGGTATAAGAAATCACCTTGGAGAATGTCAGTGTATATCCTGTCAAGATTGTTCTCGAAATTCACATCATTATATTCAAGAAAGTTATTTTGATTCTCAAGAACTTATAAAAAATGAAATTTTCAGCAAAAGCAACTTTGATCAATCCCAATTGTTTAATAAACTAGAGTATAATACACATAATGCATTTATTCAACCAGCAGAACCTCCACCATTAGTAGATACTAGTAAAATATATGCCTGGATGGAAAAAAATGAAAGACAAGAAAAGCAAAATAATTATGTTGCTCCATCTCCTATTGTAAGGCATAAAAAGCTGCAAAATGTTCCAGAAGCTCCAATTGCTCAAGATCATAATATGCCTTTATTACCTCAACCAGATACAGGAACTGTATTAACAGAAGTCAAAAGAGTACTAGAGGAACCAAAATCTACAAGACGATCATTAAGGTATTTAGTGAATATTTAGTTATAAATTTAATAAGAATGAAAAAGGTAAAAATCTGTTTCAATATTTTCAAATTAATTTAATGAGTAGTTTAAATATAGATTTATATCTGTATTTAAACTAATCATTAAATTAATTTGAATACTTTTATAAATGTTATAATTGTATGAGCTTACTCTATTTCTCTAAATATATAATACTATTTTCAATAGTATTATATAATTAAAAAGGTTTTGGTATTATAGTTTAAATATACAGAGTATGTAAAAAGTAATATACTTAAAAAATTTAAATTAAAGATTTTATAATTTAAGAAGTAAAAAAAAAGATGTGCTCTCTATTTTTTATTCAGATCACATCAGCAACGACCATCAAATCATGTTGGTGATCACATGTCTGCCTACAGCGATCCATCATATGATCAGCGTCATCGTCATGTTGGAAACGCTTGGTCTTCGTTTTCTGATACAAATTCAGTTGTTTCCTATAATCCTTCTCAGATATCCAGTGTCCCTTCATGTGCATCGCGTTTATGGAATCAATATGGTTATTATGAACCTAAAAACGAGCTTTTATATCGTGGCCGCCATCTTTCAGAACAAGACGGTATGAAGCGGAATGAAAATTCTGTTAATCATCGTGATCGCCATAGTGATAGAGACTTAAAAAGTACAAGGCGGTCGGATGTTCACAGTGATGTTAGTCATCCATTAAGTGAAACTCGTAGTGAAAGAACGCACGGCAGTGGAAACAGTAAAAGGACTTCAAAAAATTCTACAACTATTACCTATTATTTTGACACTGAACCAATTCCCTATCGTATAACTATCCCTTCTAGTGAAGTCACACTGGGACAATTTAAAGCTGAAACAAAACGTGGAAATTTTCGCTATTTTTTTAAAACAATATCTGCAGAAGATGGGGAAATAGTAAATGAGGAGCTGCGGTCTGACGATGAGTATTTGCCAAGGTATAAAAACAAAATTATCGGTAAAATCGAGAAAGTGGAATAATTTTTTTTAAAATGTTAACTTCATTTATTTCCTTTCTCTTTCTGTACTATCTATCCAGAAAATTTTTCCTCTAAATTTTTAAGATAGTTTCAAAATTTAAATGATAATTTTTTGTCCAAATTTCCTATATTCCGTTTCATATTAGTTGCACTTTCTTATACTATACAATATTTATTTCTTCATATATTTATGTTGATTATATTTTTATAAACTGTACATACATATTTTTGCATGTCATTGTTTTGAATTTTATCTCGTATTTTTCCTATAATTTCTTATTGAAGCCAAATAATTTGATTTTAGGCTTTATGCTTAGTACCTTTTTAAAGAATTTTTAATTTTTAAATGGTGCTTAAATACTGCTGCATTATTTAAGGTTAAATACTGTCGCGTTATTTAAGGTTAAATACTATTGCGTTATTTAAGGTTAAATACTGTTGCATTATTTAAGGTGAATACTGTGCATTATTTAGGGTGAATACTGTTGCATTATTTTAAGTAAAATCATTGAAAATTCCATATATATATATTTGTTAATATGACAAAATAGAAATTCCATTTCTATTTTGTCATATTAACAAATGAAAAATATTAGCGCCACAAAATGATGAGCTGTTATATGCTTGTCAAGAGATGTTATATGCTTCTTAAGCTGTTATATGGTTTTTAAAATACTTATAGACATTTGAGAAATGAATTGTAAAATAAAGTAAGATGATGTGAGAATATGATGGAAATTTATTAACATTAAATTTTGTTCAAATTATTTAAATGATACATTCCTAAACATATTTTCAAGTGCTTTTGTTTAAGAGGTTAATTAACTAAGCAGGAGATTTATAAATTGTTATCTACGCAGGAGATTTATAAATTATCTGCATAAAAATTTATTGCTATTTAATACTCTAATTGATTTGCACGAGATTGATTTATTAAATATAAAAACTCATGTTATAAATAACTTGTTTTTAAGATACAAATAATTGTCGTTAAAATTATTTTTAATACAATTACAAATGTCGTTTAAATTATTTACATTACAATATCAAATTATTTTACAATCTGTTAATTTTTGAAAACAGCGAAATTTTTAATAAAATGCTCAGAAAATTTTTCTTTATATTACTAAAATTATCAATGATTATGGTGCACGATCAAGTTTTACTCTCTCCTTAACTGTGAAATCATTAGAAATGTTTAAATGTGATTATCATTGATTTCCGACAAAAAAAAAATTAGACTAACATTCTATAAATAATTTTATCAGTTCCTATTCTTTTCAGTTCTGATGCTAAATTTTTTAAATTAAAAATTAATAACGGAAAATCTTCATCAAACAAATGTCAAATTTTAGGAAATAAAAATAAAATACGCTCATTCTTAAACCTGCTCGATAGTTGACAAACTATTTGCAATAAATGAATTGGCTAGGTTTAAACTCAAATTTTTTTAATATAAAATAATTTGAGTTTAAACCTATAAATTAAAAACCTATAAATTAAAAAATAAACAAAAATTGCATAATTAGGCAACATTTCAAAATTAAAGATTAGGCAAACAAATAAATCTAACAAATTTTTTTTTGCGTCTTTAAAAAAACGTAAAAAACAAAAAGCGTCTAAAAAAGCGTACTAGGAATACAAAGTTATAAAGAGTTTTTAAATTCATTATATTGCCTAGGACCCCTGAACTTTTATTACATTCTGCTTTAATTAACTTAAACTACATATTTTTTTTTTAAATTTTGATGATTATTTTAATATAACTATTCTCCGCGTTACGTCAAAGGGTCTTTCGATGATTTTCAAATCACGCACAAATCGTGATACAACTAAACAATTGTATGGATAATAATTTTTTTTTATATATATAAAAATATTTCATATATATTTAGTTTTAATATTTTAGTTTGAACATACTTATTTTTAATTAGGCTAATTTTTATGCTTGAATTTTACATAAAATTTATTTTAACCCATTTATTTTACTTACAAAATTTTTTAACTGTGGAATTACAAAATAAAAATTTAAAAGAAGTGACGTTTCTATCTAAATTGCATTTTATTTGTTAAGTTATCTTTGTTAATAAACAAAAGTTTTTATAACCAAGAAAAAAAACAAAACACAAAAATAGAATATACGACATGAATTAAAATTGAAGTAAGTTTATTCACAAGCTTATGCGAGATGTCTGAAATTACTTGTTATGCGAGAAGTCTGAAGTTACTTGTTATGCGAGAAGTTTGTACTTGTTATTCGATCGATGGCAAGACTTGTTTCAAGGGCAAGGCTATCAACAAGTAACATTCCTTTATGCGAGCACTTTAATCCACTAAAAGAAAGTAAAACCAAAAATTTATTAACAACATAAAGTTTTGAAATGGTTCAACCCAGTCAGTAAATACCAGTCAGTAGATGACGACAGTCAGTTCACACCGGACGTAATGTAAATGAATTAAAAATTTTACAAAACAATAATTTTCGTTTAAAAGCAAATTGTCAGCGGAAATGCAAAAGAGCCGTTCAATTATTCTTTTCTCTATAGGTCGATTTTAATAAACAAAAAACTTTAAACAATAAAAATAAAAAGTAATAGACAGAGGTAACAAAGAAATTACTCATTTTATTCATATCTTTGAGTTGAGAAAAAACAACAAATAAAAAATTATGCAAATGAGATAAAAAAATTAGCGCTCGAACAAAACCGATTATTCAATTTACACGTTTTTCGGTTGCCATTCGACTATAGATATCAATGTGATATTAATTTACCGTAATGGAGTCATGAAACAATTTTTAAACAAACAAAAAAAAAACAGTAACTATTTTTAAAACATTAAAGAAAGCTTGAAAAAAATCAATAAAATTATTAACTCGAAAGTCGTTTCAAAGATTTATGTAAAATCTTTTTTTGTTATCATATGCCTTATGCTCAATATAACATATTAATATGTTAAAGTAAAAAAATATATATTTTTATATTACTATTATAAATATTAATATATAATACATATTAATATGTTAAAGTAAAAAAAAAGATATTTATATTACTACTATACATATTAATAAAAATATTTTACATGTCTAATATGTCAAAATACACACAAAAAAATATTATTTTAGAATATTTTCTACATGAGCATATGCGTATTTACACGCATACACGCACATGCGTGTGTTGCTCGCAAATGTTATGCGCAATTTATGTTACGCGCAATGATTGAATGGTCGCATTTAATATTTTAAATTCGAGTTACATAAAAAGGTAAAGATCGTTATTTCAAAAAGCAAAACCTTTTTAACTCACTGGAAAAAAATTTCGTTGTAGCTATCTTGAACAGTACATGTTGTAGAAAAATTTGTAGACATTATTTAGATAACTTTCCTTCAATGTAATAACTTGACCTGAAAATTAATTGACCTGCACTGAAAATAATTTCAACCATACAACATACGGCTGTAGTCAGTTAATTATTTATCTGTTTTGTATCTTATTTCTTTATTTAAAGTCGATCACTTTTACTAAATTTTTATTCAAACAAAAAGTTTTGAAAAATATCATAATGCAAAAGCAGATCAATATAGAGTAGGAGTCTATCATAATATGTAAAAAATAAATAAATTTTTTTACATGTTATATGATAGATGTTGTTTGATGAATTGCTTTAGTGGATCAATTTAAAAAAAAACCATATTTACTAATTTGAAAAATCTTAACATTTTTAAAAATACGGTTGAGTAGAATTTTTTATTCTCAACCTAATGGTAATATTTTATTTATTATATTGTAAAATAAATTATCTGATAAAAACTAATAAAGGAAATATTCTACTAAAGTCGGTCAATAATTAATAAATATTAATAGATCATTTGTGGCTAATTAGTGTTTACTTCAAGGGCAGATCCATAGGGAGGCTATAAAGTAAACCCTTAACCGCTCCCCCTTAGATAAAAAGAATTTTTTTTTGTAAATTTATATATTTAACAATTGTTTGAAAACGGAAGTAAGTTAGGGAGACAGTTTAAATATGATAATAAGTGTATTCAATAAGTGCGTGGTACAAAAAAAAAATCAGATTGATGGGATGTTGTCATATATACCGAAATTTCATAGTTACATAGATTCAGGATATAAAAGACTACATTCAATTCATACAACCACATCAAACCCCCACCTCCTCATTCTTTCCTAAATGGTCTGAAAGCACCAAATCATAAAAATTTAAAATTCGTCCCCCTTATTTTTACTAGATGGACTGGATCCGCCTCTGGTTTACTTCCTTAACTACTTCTTTTAGCACCCAGCATTGGCCCAACGTTGAAATTCGATGTTAATCTAATGCAGATTTGATCATTTGTTAGGCATTGGCCCAACGTTGTGTACAACATTGGCCCAACGTTGAATACAACGTTTACCCAACATTGACCTAACGTTGTATACAACATTGACCCAACATCGTTAGTAACATTGGGCCAATATTGTATAATTAGGCAAATGTTATTATAAATTAGCTATATACTGAATTTCAACAACAAATGTTGTATATCGGCCTGACGTTTTATGCAACATTAGATCGTTGTTACAAATAGATGATTTGCATCGTTACTTTAAACTTTATAGAGAAAAATAAAAACAAAAATGTATGATTCAAGTAAAAAAACTCATTTATTTAATTTACATCCGTTAAATATACATATTGCAAACACCAAACATAAACCAAAAACTAACACATTGGGTTTTAAATAAAAAAAATTTCCTATAAAATTTATGGAGGAATCTTGATATTGGCTGAGCTACTTGTTATTGAATCGTGTTTAGCTAATGATATTTGTTGCCCACGACTATTATCTTTTCTTTCACCATCACTTTCACATGTCTGCATAAGCCATGCTTATTTGACTTCACAGTCTCTGCAAAAAAAATTAGTTTTTAGTTTAATTATGCACCAAAGAAAAATAACAAATTGAAAGCAATTGTGTAATGCAAAATTGAAACCGCAAAAATAACTTTACTAAACCACTTACCAATAGCAACATATACAATCAACATTTTCCTATTCCGATTTTTTGTCCTCTTTCTGCATAATTTAATTTTACAGCTAGGCCATTTTTAAAAACTATTCTTAGTAAATAACATATACAATCTCCTTCATCTTTAACTCTAATTTGTCTCAAATAATTAACCTGAAAAATATACAATCTTGCAATAATTCAAGTTACTTTTGGTTAGACTTAAATTAATATAAAATCTCATTTACAAAAAACCCTTAGAGAGTATTTTGTTCAAAGTACATAAATTGTATAAAAATATCATACGAAATACATAAACGTATCATAAAAAAATATTTACCATTTGCTTAAGTATTTTCTTGTCTTTTAATTTTTCTTCTAGGGTACTTAAACTCTTTACTGCTTTTAGTGGCGATGACACTCTGTCAGGCAAATCACTAATTGGCATATCTTTGTTACTTTTTCTAATTATTTTTTAAAATTAAATTTGACGTGTTTTGTAGTTCACCAAGTTGCACTTTAATGCTTGCCAATTGTGCAAATAATACCTTCATATCTTTAGAGGATACAATTTTATCTTGAAACAATAAAGTTAATATTCTTAAGAAACTATACAATAAATTACATACAATAAGAATAATATTCTTAAGAAACTATACAATAAAATACATACAACATTTAGAATTTATGAAAGTAAATACAACAATCACTAATAAAGAAAATAAAATTAAAAACAGAGGGACAAGTTTTTAATGACAAAAATATATACTTGCTAATGGATTCATAATATTTTAATTATGAAATTTACTGGTGTGCATTTAATTTCTAGCACTGACACAAAACAATTCTCGTTAATGTTTGAGATATAGACTGCACTGTAAAACAAAAAAATTCATATTAAAACAATGTTTTTCCAATACTTGTAAATAATTTTTTTAAAATATTTTTGTTCTGAATATTAATAATAATAAAACTTTTAAAAATAATATCATCTATAAAAATATTGTAATACAAATGTACAAATGGTATTATGATATAGAGAAAATAACTTGAAAAATACCCCCTCAACATTCGTGCTCTTTAAATTCTTCAGGTCTGTGTTCAAACATTCGAGGTAATAAACATTTATTCACTGATAAGAAATATTTAAATCGAAATCGTGAGGGTTTTTTTACAAATCGCACATTCAAGTTCTGGAACAATTTACCAATTGAAACAGTGGAAGTTAAAAATCTCAACTTAGTTAAAGCTAAACTAGACTTAATTGACTATCTTTTTCTTGTTATGTCTGTAAAAGATTTAACATGGCGTTAAATTTCAACAGTATTGTATATTATTATTATTACCTTAGTCTATTAGATAAATCTAAATAAATGTTTATATAATGAATAATAATGAACCATCGGTAACTGTTAAAACTTTAAACTCGTATGAATATTATGTTTTTATTCCTAAGAATTGATTTCAAATAGATTTCAAAGTTGGTTTAAGCTTTGATATGTTGATTATTGCACAATAAAATTTTCATTAACACTGACTTTTTGACTGTAATATATGAAAAAGTCTTTAAAAACTGTAAAAGTTGAAGGTATGAATAAATATTTTCAATCATCAGACAAAAAGACTTTTAAATTAAAACTTACCATTTAATAAACTTTGTTCATTCAATTTTTCAGAGCAAATATTGTCATTCCAGATGAAGATTTAGAAAAAACATCAAAAATGCCTGTCCTAACTATAGACGAACACTTCAAATCTCCATGGATGGATAATGATAAATGGGTAGATAAAGTAAAATTTTAATTTGTAATTTGAAACACATAAGGTTCAAATAAAAAAACTATTTTTATTTTATTTTATAATGACAATCTTTCCCAATAAATTAAGGAGGTATTTAAATCATGATTTTTATTTGTTTAATTTAAATCATGATTTAAATCAAAACAACTCTGTATATCTTTTTGAGGCATAGGGACATTATTCTTGGTTTTATTAGTTTTTTAATTTAATTTTATTGGATATTGTTCATACTTAGTTTGCGTACAGCAATTAACAACTTTGAGCTTATACATTAATTTTAGTTATAGCTTAATTATTAATGAATTGATTTATAGATTTTTATAGCAAACCAAGATTAAACTTAGTAGACAGCTCTGGAGACAAAAAAGTAAGGCAGATAAAATGATCAGCCAAAATAAAGATTAAAGAGACAAAAAATTCTTGGTGAAGATGATTCTTCATATTGTTTTAATAATGATTTATCTTCAATTTCATAATTAAAAAAAATAAACTTTAGGACTTACCTGTAACCTCAAAATCTTTGCAAAAATTGGAAAAACATTGTTTTAATATGAATTTTTTTGTTTTACAGTGCAGTCTATATCTCAAACATTAACGAGAATTGTTTTGTGTCAGTGCTAGAAATTAAATGCACACCAGTAAATTTCATAATTAAAATATTATGAATCCATTAGCAAGTATATATTTTTGTCATTAAAAACTTGTCCCTCTGTTTTTAATTTTATTTTCTTTATTAGTGATTGTTGTATTTACTTTCATAAATTCTAAATGTTGTATGTATTTTATTGTATAGTTTCTTAAGAATATTATTCTTATTGTATGTAATTTATTGTATAGTTTCTTAAGAATATTAACTTTATTGTTTCAAGATAAAATTGTATCCTCTAAAGATATGAAGGTATTATTTGCACAATTGGCAAGCATTAAAGTGCAACTTGGTGAACTACAAAACACGTCAAATTTAATTTTAAAAAATAATTAGAAAAAGTAACAAAGATATGCCAATTAATGATTTGCCTGACAGAGTGTCATCGCCACTAAAAGCAGTAAAGAGTTTAAGTACCCTAGAAGAAAAATTAAAAGACAAGAAAATACTTAAGCAAATGGTAAATATTTTTTTATGATACGTTTATGTATTTCGTATGATATTTTTATACAATTTATGTACTTTGAACAAAATACTCTCTAAGGGTTTTTTGTAAATGAGATTTTATATTAATTTAAGTCTAACCAAAAGTAACTTGAATTATTGCAAGATTGTATATTTTTCAGGTTAATTATTTGAGACAAATTAGAGTTAAAGATGAAGGAGATTGTATATGTTATTTACTAAGAATAGTTTTTAAAAATGGCCTAGCTGTAAAATTAAATTATGCAGTAAGAGGACAAAAAATCGGAATAGGAAAATGTTGATTGCATATGTTGCTATTGGTAAGTGGTTTAGTAAAGTTATTTTTGCGGTTTCAATTTTGCATTACACAATTGCTTTCAATTTGTTATTTTTCTTTGGTGCATAATTAAACTAAAAACTAATTTTTTTTGCAGAGACTGTGAAGTCAAATAATCATGGCTTATGCAGACATGTGAAAGTGATGGTGAAAGAAAAGATAATAGTCGTGGGCATCAAATATCATTAGCTAAACACGATTCAATAACAAGTAGCTCAGCCAATATCAAGATTCCTCCATAAATTTTATAGGGAATTTTTTTACTTAAAACTCAATGTGTTGTATACAACATTGGCTTCATTGGCCAATGTCATATATAACGTTAGGCCAATGTTGTATACAACGTTGGGCCAATGCCTTATCAATTATCAAACCAGCATTGGGCTGACATCGAATTTCAATGTTGTGCCAAAACAAGAGCATTTATTCAAAAATGACAAACCTTCATTAAAGTGGTGGTACGATTTTAAAGAGAGATGGAAACATGATGTAGTGTTATGCAGAGCAGATAAAATTGCATCAAACAGAGCGTCATCTTGCACTTCCAATATAATTGAAAAATATTTCAACAATTACAAGAAACAATACGTCGAAGCCAAAATTAATAACTTAAAAGCTTCACATATTTGGAACTGTGATGAGTGTACCTTTTCGCATAAAATTTCAATTTTATGTTGAAAAGGTGCAAAGCGCACTTTCAAACTTACAGGATACAATGAAAAATTTATTATACTGTTAACAACTGCGTCATTTTTAAATCAAAAAGATAAAATGGTTTGACTGGCACAGTGTATACATAATCAGATTCAAGATGGATAGAGAAATCACAATTTATGGAGCGGTTGGAAGGGCTATTCATACCAGCAGTTAAAGCAATTGGAGAACACATTTTTGTATTAGATGGTCAAAGCACTCATATGTAATTTAAAGTTATTGAAATATGATAAAAAACGTTTGATTGGTCTGCCTATCAGCTCATTTAAGTCATATTTTGCAGCTACTGGACGTTGGAACATATTGTGATGTTAAACTTACTTGGAAAAACGTATTAACATCATATTATGAATCATCAAAACGCAAAAATATTGATAAAGCTAATTTTCACAGTTTATTAAAAGTTTTATATAAAAGTGACAAATGCTTTACACACGCAGTCAGTGCGTTCGAAAAAGCAGGCTTAATTTTTATTAATTAATAATAAATCTAACATTGATCTATCAAAATTGAAAATAACAGAAACATTTGATGATTCAGCACAAGAGCATCACAATCAGCATTGACTATGTCATTGACTGGACAACATTAACCAATTTCTTTAACACCAATGTGTATAAATATTAAAATGTGTAATAATATTTTATTTAAATATTATAACAAAACACACATTTCAATTAAAATTGATTGAGAATCTGGAATGAAAATATATCTGTAACAAATTAATGACTCTGATAAACATATCCATAAATCTAAAAAAAAACAATGTAAGAATTGAAACAAAAAAAGGCTACAAAACGTAACATAGACTACAAAGACGATAAAAGCAACCAAGTAAACAGTAAAAAATATTTTAATGTAAAAAGTGCAAAGTGCATTTCCATGATTCAAATCAGTTTATCTCAATTTGTATTTCTTGTATATATTTGAATAAATAATGCAATTAAGAAAAAAAAAAAAAAAAAAAAAAGTTTAAAAATTGTTTTTTGTAAAATTAGTTTTAAGAAATAAATTTTATATGAAACTTCTTTTTTTTTTTTACATATATTTATATATAACAAAGTATTTTTTCTATTAAAAAAAAATTCCATGAAAAAAAGGTTTCCCATCAAAAACAAATTAAACTTCCTGAATGTCGACCTTCTGGTCAACATTAGATTAGTTTACCCTATGGCAGTTGCAAATAAATACTTTTAAAGTTCAAAAATTTATTTTGCTAAATTTTTTTTTGGAAACAAAAAGCAGTTTATTTTTTGTTATTTTTGTGGAAGTTAGTCCTACATTTCAAATAAAAGTAATGTCAGGACTCATAGCTTAACATATAGTTGCTAGAATTTATAGCTTAACTTATAGTTTGAACAATTTATCTGACTATTAGCTTTATTCTTTTTTTAGTAATAAACAAACTTAAAATGAGTTTAATTTTTTTTTTTCAGTAATAAACAAACTTAAAAACGAAAAAAGAAACTTTAACGGTTAAAAGTAATTTTCAAAACATCGGAAAACAATGGTAGACAACACTTAATTTCAAAAATTGAAAGTTGAAATTACAACTTAAATGACAATACTTAAATGATGTACTTAAATGACAATATATATATATATATATATATATATATATATATATATATATATATATATATATATATATATATATATATATATATATATATATATATATATATATATATATAAATACAGGGAAATTTGTACAGAGTTGAGGAAGCAAAGGACCAACATAAGTACTAATATATTTTAATGCACCAATTACAAACAAGTCTAAAACACATATAATTCGATATGGAAATGATATTTTTTAATAAGACAATGATCAAAACATACAACAAGAAAAAATAATAGGTATATACAAAATGCTAAATTCCTACTTTTGACCGGCCAAAACAATCACCTGACTAATACATTTTGAAAATCTGAAGGTCTATATTAAATGCTAAACTTTGTTTAGCATCTAACCTTCAGATAGTAATGAACTATTCTTAAAAGTTAAGAAAGGATTGCTGGATTCGCTGGATGTCACCTTTTTAATAAAACTAGTTGAAATCATGCTCCACAGATGCTAAGTAAATTATGCGAAAGGTTATGTGCCCAAGTATGAAAACTGATTAAAATATTTAAAACTGATTGAATTACTATTTAGTTGTAATGAGGGTAAACTAATTACTCAGTATTTATCAACAACAACAATAAAAAACCATAGATAATTAAAAACCATTTTTTACTTTGTGAAAAAATAGAACTTTTCTATTTTAATTAATTTTCATCACTTTTGTTTTTTGTAGTTTTAAGTTTATTTTTAATGAATATTATAGTGAAATAGCTAATATTATTTAATATATTTAAAATAAATTTAACAACAACAACAACAAGATATTTATTCTCCTTTTCAAATCATACAATAATATTATAATAATAATAAATATAATAATAATAAAAATTTGAAAAAAAAAAGGTTCCAATTTTTTCCAATTTTTGCGTAGCTCATCGATATGAAAGTTCCACAAGAGATTGCAGTCAATCAAAACACCGAGATATTTAATAACTTTTGTAGGATATAATCGTTTATTACTAATTTTGATTTAAATTTTGGAATTTTTGTTTAGATTATAAAAAGTCTATAAAAATTCCTGGACAACAATCAAGAACCAACTGGAGTAATTTATAATAATTTTAATAATAATTTTTTTTAAATATAAACAATTTTCAAATGCCAATTTTTTAACAAAATTTTGTTTAAAAAAAAAAGTGTGGATGTCGTAAATTTAATTTATAATTTTTTTTTAACCACACATAATATTTTGTAATAAACTATGATTTGCAATTTTTCAATGAGTCCATATTCTCATTGAAACTTTTCTATATTAGTTCTTACCTTATTTTAAATTAAATAAAAACTTATTTAATTATTAAAGTTTTTTTTTTGACAAAAATCGCAAAATTATGTAATTATTATTTTAGAACCTTGAATGACTAATTTTAAGATTTTATAAAAACAACTTTTTTTTTCCACCACAGCATTTTAATCTGAATTTCTCAATAGTAATAAAAGCTTTATATGTAAGAAGTAAATCAAATTTTAAGCTTATTGCTTTCAGTGAAAATTTCAGCACTTCAAGCCAAATCTAAGGTAAAGAAGCCACATACAATTTTCATAAGAAAGAGAGGATATTAGAGGATTTTAGAGGAGGTTTTTGAAAAAAGAGGATTTTAGAGGAGTTGTGGCCATAAAAAGAAGGTGTTTTTAGACGGTCCTTAAAAGCATTTTTTTTTTTAATTTCAGTATCCAGAGATCTAGAAAATTAAAGCATTTACAAAACACTAACTTTGATTACATTGATTACATCATATAGAATAAGAAAGATTTTATGAGACAATTTTGTTATAGAAAAAGTTCTAAAATGACTTTGACTAAAAAGCAACAAGAAAAATGTTGAGAACATTTTTTTGAGAATATTTTTTAGATGCTCTGCAGATGCCTCTTTAAGAATTTCTTGAATATTTGTTGTTTGTTTTTATGGACAACCTAGGAAACAAAAAATAAATTAAAAGAATGAAGATATAGTTGTAGAATCTAAACTCTAAAAATCCAAGTTTTGGTAATTAATGTTTAGTTTTTAAAATATTATGACATCAAAAATTTTCTAAACATTTTTACTGATATATTATTGTAAAGTAATGTACCTGAAGAGTGTCCTGACGTTTTACCTTGTCATGTGTTCTTCCAATAAAGTCTTGGATCAAGTTGATGTGATGTTCAGCCTGATTATTTATAACTGCAAGTTGTTTTTCACAAATAAAAAACTTGACAAATAACCTAGGAAATCTTTCACTCTCAAAAGCTGCTACGCCCTTCTTCTTTCAAAATAAAAGCATAGTGATATTGTTCATAGTGATTTCAAGGAGAAGAAAAAAAAAAAAACTATGCTTAATAACAAAGTCGACAAGATTTGACATTGGATTAATCCTGATTCCAGGGTTTTCAATTACCAAGTCTTTCTTTTCTGGAATTATCTGCAAAAGATAGTAATTTGTTGAAGATGTTGATTCTATCATCAGCATCCAGATCTATGTCAGCAAGAGACACAACAAGAGACACAACAAGCTGGGGCGATAGATATCAAGTGTGGCATAAAAGGTTTTTGGCATCAACCTTTCTAATCTCTGTGTAGACTTTGAAGTTATCTGACATTTGGAGCTAGAAGGCTTAAAAAAGCTCTTAGGTCATTTAAAAGAACCTGAGTCACCATAGGACTCTTCAAAAAAAATGATCTGTGAAAAAATAACATGTAATTTGTAGTAGTGTTTATTCTCTTAAGAGTAGCTGGCACTATTGTCTCTGAATCAATTGGGTGATTGCTCTGTGTCATGTGCAAGACCAGTAGAACTTGAAGGAGAAATTAGGTATAGGTGCAACCAAAAAATAAGTCTGTAGTTGGCAAAGATACTTGTGATCTCTTCTCTGGAAAGTATTTTTATTTTACTGCAAGATTGTGCAAAAGAATATCTGGCCTGAAAACATCATGGCTGACAACATACAACATACTTGGCATATGGAAAAAAAAGAATACCTGGTCTGAAAACATCATGGGGCCATTCAAATTTGACTATTCTTTAAGAGCATTTTTAAAACATGCAAGTTTTAAAACATGCATAAAGAACCGTGACCAAGTTGTCAAAACAAAATATATGTATGGTCAGGAAAGGTGTTTGATTGCACTTGTCTTCTGTGAAGACTTGAAATGCATTCGTAACAAAAAACAATTTTATTAAAGCATCTTGAACATAATTCTCAAAATAAAAATAACTCCTTATTTTTTCTAAAATTATTATAGAAAATAATAATTTCAGCTTGGAACAAGTAACAGTAGCTTTAACACTTTTTCCTAAAGCTTTAACTTTTACTCTGTAATGTACCTCTTCATATCAACACAAGACAGACAGAGTACTTGTGAGTTTTTTTTTTATTAAAGAAGAACCTTACTAACAAGAATGTTTGATTTAAAGTTATTTGCAACCTTATTTTTTCTGCTTTAGTTCCAGTTTCTGGCATTTTACAACTTGTAACAGACACACCTGATGAATGAAGATATTTAGTATATAAAATAAAACTTTAATTTTATGAGTTTCCATCGCCATAAAACCTCAATAATATTGTATAATCTTCTCTGTATACAATACTTTCTGGTGCACACAAAGTTGATAGTTTAACACTATTTTTATTAACTAAGAAAAGCTTAGGAAACAAAAATTTTGATGTAAAACATCCACTTAGGTGCAATAAGGAAGATAGTGGTTCCTAAAAATGTCACAAAAATTTACTTAGTTTCAATCTACAAATTTGGTTAAACCTAAAAGGACTTTTGCAAAAGTTTGCCAAAATTTTAATAATGGCTAAACACATAACCCACACACATGTGGAGGCATAAACACATAAAGCTTAAAAAATGATGACTATGTATTACATAGATAAAAATTCAAAGAGTATTTTTATATTGTAACATTTTTAAATTTATTGCAGCAATTATCAGAAATATCACCCGCTGGAATGTACCATTTAAACAATATCATTACCAGCAGCATTGCAACATTTAGTTGCAATATAAAAAACAGCACTAAAACTAGTTAACAAAGCCAACAGAAAAAACTTACCTGAAAAAATTAATGATGCAAATAAGAAACGGCAGAATTATAACCATTTATTCTTTGTGTTACAACAAAGTTTAAATACAGTAATTTCAAACACTAATTATAATTAATTGACTATAATTATAAACACTTGAAAACCTTTTTCAATTAAAAAGATGAAACTAACAATAATAAATATAAAAATTAAAATTTTTTTCTAGTAACAGTATTAAGGAGATAAATTTTTTGTTGTATCCAAAAATATTAAATAAAACAATTACAAAGACAGCAAAAAGAAATATCAAAACTCAAAAAAATTTTTGGTGGTAGAAGTAATAAGGAGATTGCTGTTTTGATTTTGTTAAAAAAAAATAAATATCCAGATAAGATTGCCTTAATAAGCCATGACATCATAGCCATCTCTATAATAAATCATGTATGTATAATGTCAGAATATTTTGAACTTAAATTGGGTGTTGGACTCAAGTCAAAATGACGGACTTAACATTTAACAAATTTTAAATTCAAACAAAATTGAGATTTCAAGTTTCTCAAAAAGAACTTCGTCTTATCTGAACTGTCTTTTTTAAAAATCCACCCTCTTCTTCTAAGTTTTTACTTTAAAAAAAAAATGACATTAAAAAGACTTATGAAAACTAAATAATCTTTTCAAAATTTATATATTTATATGTTTTGAAAATAAATTTATTAGTATTTTTGTGATTCTATTAGAATTTATTGTGTTTTCATATTTTCTGTTAGTGGTATGGTAAGTGATTTATTTAGTTATTTTTATTTTTGTTTTGTACAGTATATCTATACTTTTAATATTATCAAGAAAATATTGGTGCTTTACAAATTTGGGGATGGTTGGGTTTTGGCTATTTGTAGTAAGTCCTTTTTTACTGCAGTGTGGAATAGGCCTAAGTCGTGGGGTAAGGAAATGGCAGGATAAACTAGTTATTATTGCTGATCCTCATCGAAACACCAATAATAATAGATGCGACTCTGAGGAGATGTTTATTACTTAATCACTACGCAAATTATGTTTACAAATCAACATTAATGTTTTTTTTCTATTCTGAGGCCTAACATTGTTGCATGCATACTTTTTATTTTGTAATCAATTTTTTGTTTTATAAGTTTTTGTTTGGTGATGTATTTGTTGTATATCTTTGTTCATATTAGTGTAAAATAATTGTTTTTTAATTTTTATTATTATTGTAAGAACTGTTTAGGTGCATTGTCTGTCTTATTTATTTTTAAATATTTAATTATTTTTAATTTTTACTGTTACTTTACAGTTTTTATGATAAGAATGAAGTGTTACATTTGTATGATCTTGTAATAGAAGTCTTCAAAAATTCAATATGAAAGATCTTGTAGTAGAAGTATAGGTCTATATAAAAGATCTTCTAGTAGAAGTATACAAAAGGTCTATATAAATGATCTTGTAATAGAAGTATACAAAGTCTATATAAAAGATCTTGTAGTAGATGTCATAAAAATTGTTGTGTCAAAAACAAATATTAATCTAAAAAATTAGAAAAGCTAATAATATATTTTTAACTTTTAATTTTTTCTTTTTATTTCAAAATTTATTTTAAAATTTTAATTAGTTTCTTGAATTATTTCTATTCCATTTTAATTATTTCTACTTAAAATTTTCAAAACAAAATGGTTAAAACCCCCTCTCAATTCTATAACTCCAAAACACGAACCTTGACAAACAAGGCTGCTGCGCAGAGAAACAAGTTGAGCATGATACTACCAGATGTGTGGTGGGGATCAAACTAGAAGTTCTCACTTCTATTTTGATCCCCACCACATCCCTGTAGTATCAAATGAGGCCACTGCTCTACCACTATGCCACTACTGCATAAATTTATTACACCAATGATATATACCTGTTTGATACTATTATAAAACTTCAATTTTTAGAAAACAATTTAACACAATATTGGGAACAACATTGAAAAATTTAACTAAAACACAACCTGTTATCAATATGAAGAAATCCTGCCTCCAAAAAATTATTCAAGAATTGATCTTTTTGCAATTCTTCCACTGGCCATCCTACAACATCCATGAAAAACTAAAAATTATAAAATACAAAATATTAGAACTGACTATAGGTTATTTAGTTGCATAAACTATGGTTAAAACAATACCAATACAACACCAAACTCATAAAATACATTGAGCAATAGGGTAGGTTGATTTTGGTATGTAAGTACCGGTAAACAATATAAAGTTGGATATTTATATGTAAGTAACAAAAATAGCAAACCTAAGTGTTTCAACTGAATATTTTTTTGCGGAATGTCAATGGAGTTAGTGCATTTGCATACTTCATAAACTACTTTTTGCTGATTTATAAAATTTATTTTTCTTCGTTTTTAAAGCATGTATTGTACTTTGTTTGTAAAATTTAACTTCATAATTTTGTAATCTTTAGTAGCTTCATAGTTTTGTAATCTTTAGTAACGCCATAGTTTTGTAATCTTTAGTAACGTCATAGTTTTGTAATCTTTAGTAACGTCATAGTTTTGTAATCTTTAGTAACTTAATAGTTTTGTAATCTTTAGTAACATCATAGTTTTGTAATCTTTAGTAACTTCATAGTTTTGTAATCTTTAGTAAAGTGCTTTTAACTTAACATTTAAAACACCAAAAAAATCGAATTTATAAGTATCTAATAAATATTTCTTAAAATATACTTTTTAAATCGCCCAAGTCTATACAACTAGATTTACATTTTTAAATGTTACTTTTGTAGAATGATATAATGTAGTTAAAAAAGATTAAAGTGAACAATAAGCATGTTTTACTAATTTTATAAATATTATTATCAAGTAAGTTATTTTTTTATGCAAAACTTAAATAATTTAGTTCTTTAATAAAGTGTTATTAATTTATTGCAAATAATTTATGTGTCTTGTAATAATAATATGAACAAAGTATTTAGTTTTGGAAAATAAAAAATGTGAAAAATAAAAAAAAAGGTCCCTTAAGCGATCAAAAAGGGAAGAGAATTATGGAGGTTGCCCTTGTGATTTAGTTACAACGGATCCAAGCACATACAGACAATTGATTTAATTTTATTACTTCCTAGACTGTTCTGACATTAAGCCAAACTTTTGGACAATTGTTAATCATGTTTTGTGTGTTTTAAAATCTATATGGTTACTTGTTAATCCACAATTGCCTTTAATTAATGATAAGTCTATTGAAACAAAAGTTAAAAATCTATTTACAAATGTAAAAAACATAAACTGCAAACACACTAAAGCAAATATCAAATGAAACCTGCTAAACTTTTTGACATGACTGCTTGTTGCTGTTCATTGGATATTGTGTCATGTAACAATGTTATGTAAAGTGCAAAAACAAAAAATGCAAAAGGGAACACATTATTTGCATATGCCCTAAAGAAGCAAAAGTCCCAATAGAAGAAAGAACTTATATACAAGACCGGCGTTTAAAAACAGGACCATAAAGGGTAATTTCAGATGTCTTTGGTAGATAAATTTGCTTTAAAACACAACAGAATTAAACAGAAGGAACAAAATATATCACATCACACACATATTATTACCAGATCTCCCAGAATTTATATTATAAGGTACTTTCATTTGCGGGGCCTTAAAATTTTAAGTTGTTTAATATACATTTAACACTTATAAATAATAAAATCACTTATCATGAGTATTTTTCATTTTTTACTTAAGGAACAGGATGAATGGAAACTAAGTAAAAGAACTCAGAAAGATTATAGTATTCAAAAGTTTCCAGGATATGCTATGGAGCTGGTCAGAGGCGTATGTTCGTCAAATCTTGAACACAGCTCTTGAAAACGCCTTACTCCATGATATCAAGCATCTATTGTTACCTTATGTTGATATCAATAACATTCTAATGGATAAGTGTAAATTAGACAGAGCTAAGTCAAAAATAAAAGTAATTCCAAAAAATGTAGATTCAGAAGAGATGATACAATTATTTTGCATTGGTTTAGATGGAAAGATAGATAAGAATATGAAAAAGTATTTAAAAACAAATAATTCTGAAGGTAAAAACTTCATAACAAAATGTGTGGCTGCATCACTTTACTTGTACACATGAGGATGGCAAATGTCATGGGATCTACTTGACACACAGAACAATACCCATTGTTGGTGCTACTGGGGATGTTCTTGTTCTTGAGACATTTAGTGTACTTAAAGAATGAAGAGCATTCGTGCTATTTTTTTAGATAATACTGCATCAAACACAGGCTGGAGGAGTGGCTTGGTGGGTAATCTAGAAGAGTTGATAGGAAGGAACCTTCACACAATAGGTTGCAGCTTTCATCAGTGGAGTGAGTGAACTCCCACTAAAAGCCCATTTTAAAAAGTTAGATGGAAAAACAACCGGTCCACAAAATTTTAGTGGATCAATTGGGACTAGATCTAAGAAAAAATTCATAGACAACCTCAAGTAGAGTTTAAAGCAATTCAAACTTCTATCACTGAAGCATATATTTCAGATGAGATATTAAAAAATATTAATCATGACCAAAGGTTTCTTTACAAATATTGTAAAGGTATTGGACTAGGTTAAATAGACGACAAATGGGCTAATTGTAAAATAGGTCTACTGAATCATGCTCGATGGTTAACCCTTGCTATGTGAATTCTTTGTTTATACACTCAAGATGTTTCTCCAAACGCAAATCTGAAAAAGCTTACCCTTAAAGCTTATATTGTTAAAGTTTATGCTCCATCATGGTTTCAAATAAAGAAATTTTCAAAATTGCAAGATTCCCCCCAGATTCTGTTTTTCTCTATTAATCAATTGAATCTTATTAAGTTTGATGATGTAAAAAGAAAAAGTAAAAAAAAAACATTTAAGGTAATTCTTTCTGTTTGATACCTGGAAATTTTCTCTATGCAACGGTTAAAAATGGTAATGAGCAGATCACTTATTAGTAAAAATATTTACACATTTATTAAAAATAAAATAAAGCCTAATATTCGAGACCTCCCCTCTAATTTCCAGAGCGTTAAGAGGTGTGTCAAATTAGTTTCTGAAGCTTCTAACACCATATATGGATTTGAAGTCAGGCATAAATCTATACTAACAAAATTACTTAGCAGAAAAATGCCTTTAAGGTTTTTGTCAATAGGACATTATTTTCAGTCGTACGATGATTTATTTGCCTTATTTGCTTGTTACATTCTTGAAAAAGATTTTTTTTTAGTTTAGCATTGCTTTTTAACTGACTTATTAAATTAATAATGATTATTTATTGGATTTTACTGAGCATTTAATTTGATAATCGATGTAACACAACAAGTAAAAAATATATACTTAAATATAAATTGGACTTGTGACATTTTTGCTTGATAAAATGAAACGATAAACTGTATCAGTAATCTTAAATACAAATATTTGAACTATTACTTGGTGTGTCAAACTTTTTTAAATAAAAACTTTGTCTCAACGAATTGAAAAGTATGAAACCACAAGCAAGAAGTTGATATTTTTATAGCAAAAGTTGATAAGGGTACTTTTAAATTTTGATCGCTCATCCAAAAACCGTTGTTTGACTAAACACCTTCAACTTTTTATTTTTTATGTTTTATATATATAAAAACACGTTTCAGTACGTTAGCCATTACAAAATTAAAAAAAAGTGAAAAATCGACCTACCCTATTGAGTAGCATACCTTTTTATCAAGTCCTTTTGATGAACGAAGTGCAAGCAATATAGCTTCTTCACGACTGTAAAAATAAATACCTTTATTACAGTTGTTTTAAAAAAGTATATATTGAAATCAATATTCAAATATCAGTTGCTTTAAAAAAGTATAAGTTAAAATCAATGTTCAAATATAAAAAAAATAATATAAAATAGTTAAAAAAAATTAAAAAACTGACAGTTTATATGATCCCCTTTCTACCATTTTTAAACAGTCTCCCTATGGTCATGATATAGGGAGACTAAATAAAAACTGACATTCTGTTTAGCAAAATGAAAAGGTCAGTTCTTGAATAATATTTTAAAGGAAGATTTCTTTATATTGAAAATAGGTTGTGTTTTAATTAAATTTTTACAATGTTGTACCCGATATTGCGTTGATTTGTTTTCTAAATTCCAAAATTTGTAGATTTATTATTATTGTAAAATTGTTATTTCAAATGACCTAAAAGGTTAATTAGATAAATCTCTGTAAAATGAGCTGGGTTTTCAACCCTTTTTACAAACTCAACTTTTTTACTATCAAGATATATATATATATATATATATATATATATATATATATATATATATATATATATATACATATATATATATATATATTATTATTATTATTAATATCTAAACATATATTAACAGTTTTAAGATATTAACCTTGGCCAGACCAAAACACAGTTTTCATTCTTATAAGATTCTGCTACAGTTGTTTTTTTTTTTTTTTTTTTTTTTGTCAAAACAAAAATAAAATAATGTTCTTTTTTGTAAACACATTTTTTTGTTGCAAACATGTTTTGTTGTTTATTGTTGTAAACACATTTTCTTGTTCATTGTTGCAAGCACATTTTATTGTTTATTAGTGTAAACATGTTGATTTATTGCCATTTTAGACAAAACAATTACTCATTCCTTTGGCTGAACAGCCCAAACAATATTTGGCATAAACTTAGAGATTAAATAACTTTTACATTTCTGGAAAATACTACTTAGTACTATTTGTCTTGCTTTATCTAAACTGATTGGTACCAGCAACTGCATTGCACAGTATTCCAAACAGTGGACAGTGTTTATTAATGTTACTCAAATAAATTTAGATTATTCTGATGGATATTTTGTAATGAAAGAGGACATTCTGATATATATTTTTTGATGAAAGAGGACATTCTGATAGATATTTTTTGATGAAAGAGGACATTCTGATAGATTTTTTTTTAATGAAAGAGGACATTTTTCAAAAACAATTTTCAAATAAATGTTGCATAAACATTTTTACATAAATACTATAAATAGTTATATAATCATAAATATTTACGAAATCTATAAAATATTAAAATATATATAAAATATTTATGTTGAGCCAACATTTTTCCATCACAAACTACAAATGTTTATTAAACACATGTAAAACGCAATTAAATATAAAGTAAAACATGTAAAACAAATATTACAAACAAATATATAGTGATATAATTAATAATAACATCAATATTAACTTGATTAAATTTTATTTACCGTTGAGCATTAGATAGTGTTTTACACAATCTTGTACCATGTTTATCTTTTTGAACCTAAAATTATACAAGTTAAATGAAATTTATTTTATAGAAAAGTATATATAACTAGGATATAAATATAACTAAGAATGCTGCAGTAACTTCAGGAATGATGGATTTTTATTACAAAGGAATTTTTCTAAACAAATGAATTCAAAAGAAAAACTTTTAAATAAGTAAAATATAAAAACTAATTATAGAATTAAAATTTTTTTAAGAGGATAAATAAAAAATATAAAGAAAAAAATCGAAATAAAAAAAAAGAACCTACATATAGGAAAAAAGAATATTTTTTCAACATTAGTAAAAAATATAATTAAAATAAACATATATTTTTTGTATTTTGGTTTTTGCTGTTATTGGGCTGCTTCAGTGGATTTTATTTGATACAATGTTTGTAATTTGTTTGTTTAATTATTTATTTATGATGAAAAAAAAGTTTTTTCAATATTTTTTAGTATAACTTCTTTGCATTCTCTCTCTAAAAGTTGATGTATTATACTGAAGCCCTACTATTTCAGAATGATAATATATATATATATATATATATATATATATATATATATATATATATATATATATATATATATATATATATATATATATATATATATATATATATATATGGAAGAACTGTTTCTCTATTTGAATCTTTTACTGTCTAAACAGATTTTTCTGCTTACCTAAATAACTTTTAAACATTATCTTCAGCTTAAAATGTCATTTTTATTGTCAATTAGATAATTTCTCATGGCCAAATAAAAATAAAGTTAAACAGCTTGTAAAAATAAAACAGTAATGTTACTGCAATGAGTCTATTATAAATACCTTCCAGAAATTTTCTTTTGTAAATAATTTATAACAATTTCTTTTTAGTGTGTTATTGAAATTGTTAAATATATATACAAATAACATTTTTGTATTTTTCATCTAAATTCCAAGTCGATACAGATGATATTAAACTGATTTTAGTTTTTTCATGCCATGCTGCAACAATGACAATTTTTTAAGTATAAGTTTTTATTTTAGTCCAAAAAAAAAAAAGGTTATTAAAGCAACAGTTTGAAGTAATATTTTATAGGTTACAGTACAAAGTAATAGTTTATAGGTGACAGTACAGAGCAATAGTTTATAGGTGACAGTACAAAGCAACAGTTTATTGGTGACAGTACAAAGCAACAGTTTATAGGTGACAGTAAAAAAGCAATAGTTTATAGGTGACAGTACAAAGTATTATTGGTGACAGTACAAAGCAACAGTTTATAGGTGACAGTAAAAAAGCAATAGTTTATAGGTGACAGTACAAAGTATTATACAGTGCAATAGTTAATAGTTTTTTACATATGTCAGACATATAGAAAAAATCTTTTTTTTTTTTTTTTTTTTTTACTTTTTTAAAAAATTAGGATCAACAATCAAATATATTAAAAACACAGAAAGTTGTTAATTTTGTTAATCTATTTCCTGAAATTTTAAAAAATTTAGTCAAAGAAGAAAAAAAAAGTAAAAAAAAAGTAAAAAAATAAAAAAAACCTGTTTTATCCAATCTTCTGGGACTGCAATTTGAATTAGAGCATGTCTGGATGATCGATTAGGTGTATGAAGTCTTTTATCGTGAGACAAAAACAAGAATTCAAAATATAAATTAAACATTCAAAACTGTTGGTTTAAACATTTGTTTTCAAAACAATTTATAGTTTTTACAATTCCAAAAGATTTTTCATTTGTAATTTTTTGAATAAATTAGAATTTGAAATTTTAGAAATTAAGTTTTATCTGTTTTTATTTATAAGTTAAAAAATAAAAGTAAAAAGTGAAAAATTATATATTAAAATTATATACTAAAAAATATATATTAAAGTTATATACTAAAAAATATATATTAAAGTTATATACTATACAAGTAGTAGATGAGGTAAAAACCATCTATAATAAGATTCTGCTGCAACTTTTAAAAAGACAAACTGCTCACAAAAAAATTGTTTTTTTTACAATGAATGGAGCTCCCTGAAAAAAACATTTCAAAGGTGAATCTCTAAATCAAATAACAACACAAGAATTCAAAAATGCTCAAGTTCTGTGACTTCTCTGCTGCTGATGCCACTAAAACAATTTAAAGTGATTGAAGTTAATCTGCTGCCTTAAGGAAGGAAGATATTGACTTTTTACTCAATCAAAGATCAACTTAAAAAATATAGTTGGAATCACAGAGTATAAAGAGAAAAATAATCAGAAACAAACAACTTTAATACCAGAAAGACCAAGAACAAAAAAGAAAGAGTGCCAATCAAAAAACTCAAGATGAAGGAGAAGAAGATTCTGAAACAGAAAATGACTTACAAGAATCTTCCAAAATCTACATTGATCCAAACAAGAAATGATTTCTTTATCGTTTTTAATGATTTTCTAAATGATTTCTTTAACTTTTTCAACAAAAATTTTGATGATTAATTAATTAATTTTTGCTGATTAAGCACAACACCTTTTCTGAGATATAAAAATTCTTGAAAATACTTAAGGAAAATTATCTAACAGACTCGCTGTTATTTTATTCTCACAGTAAATTCATTTCAAGAAACTTAAATTACCTCCCAGAACATTTTAGTATCTTTCAGAACATTCCAAAATAATCTTTCCCTCAAAAATATTCTGAAAGCTTCCAGAATGTTTTGAATGGTTTCAGAATGTTTTATAATTAGCATTCTATTTCAAGTAGTAAACTAGAAAAAAAACAAAAAACAAAAAAACAAAAACAAATAAGGAACTAAAAAAAATATCAAACTGGCATAATGCCAATAGCCTATCTATAAACACTGATAAAACTAACAAGTATTCCTCAATCTATTCTTTTTTTTTCCATAAAGAATTGAGGCAGTGAATAGAAATTTATTTGGTCCAAAAGGGGTTGATGTTGTAAATTGTGTTTGCCTACAACAAACTCAGATTAAGGAGACCATTCCTTCACTTCATAGTGATTCTTATTACCATGACTAGAGGTTTAGAAACTTAGTGTTAGTGTACATTTTCTCAGAAGAACTACCATAAGACTTCCACAAATATTCCATTTGCTGTAGGTTATGACTTGAGTATTGCTGCCATCTATTAATACATCCCTTTTATTCCTTCAACATGCACATTCAGAATAGATGGTTTTACATTGCCATTATGTAGCAAGACAGTTTTAAGGGATCTTTTACTAGAATCTATAGCCTCCATTTAACTGTTAATTACTTATGAGAAACAAACCATAAACATTTGTGCAGAAATACATATTGACTTCTTTGGCATAAAATGTGGACAGTGTTGCGTAACTAGTTCTGAAATGTCTCACATTTGTTCACATTGGCAGTGAAGATTCCACTGCTGAGGGCCAAACCACAAAAGCTTTTTTTTGGAAAAGCGGAAAGTCTCTTACAAGATTGTTAAGATTAGTCTTGATTAAAAACATTTCTTGTCCAATTCTTCTTTATAAAAAGCATCTTATTGGTCTTCAACATCACACTATTATCTGCACTGTCTTCACTTGTTGTGTTAAGATACATTAATGGCACAGGATTCTCAGCATCATGCAAGACTGGTTTCAGAGCTGACAGAAAAGATTCATTATAGCTGATTTGTTATTTGTGGTGAATCATGCTATGTTGCATCATGCAGAAGTAACAATCGAACATATGATTGTTTGGTTAACGCCAGAATAAGATATGATTAATTAAAAATAAACTGAAAAAAATCATAACATAAAAATATTACATACAGTTCTTATTTCATAACATAAATACTACTAATATTGGATAACTATTAGAATTAAGAAATTCTAGTAAATATTAAAGGACTAATTTAATGTTAAAAGTATTTTTACCTTCCATGAGCACCTAGCATAAAAAAAAAATCATAATATAAATATTTAATTAATAAAAAAATTTGAAAATAAAATCAAAAAACTTTATACATAACACATACAAACAGTATTTTTACATTTTAAAATGTTATTATACTTTTAAACTACTAAAAAAAGAAAAAACTCAAAAGAACTTAATCTCAAACTAACTACAGTTTCAGGGTTCAAACAATTGAGAAAAACTCAAAAGAACTTGAAACCAATTATGTTATAAAACTAATTAATTGTTTAAAAGGTAAATTTATTTTGTTATTATTTTTTACACCATTTTGTACACCATAAATTCTACTTGATAGTTTAACTTCAAAACTTTATCAACAGCAATTTTTATTATCCATAGATATAGGCAAACAATCTGATATTTCAAGTCAAAAGATGTCTTCAGCAACTCTTCCTTACAATTGTGTAAAAAAATTATTTTGTTCGTATCAAAATACAGTGTGCTACTTGTGTAAAACTTACTTAAAATATTATGAAAAAAGATCAAAATATTAAATAACTAAATATGATGCTAACTTTTGGCCAATGCCAATGTAATTTTTTTTAATGTAAGTTTATATTTATTTTTTTATATTATAAAAAAAAGAACGAACTTTTTTTTTTTGCAATATAAAATCTCCATCACAAGAAGACACCTGCTGCCCAAACCAATGACAATGAATTTAAGATTGCTTGCAAGTGTCCCTATTATCAATTGTTGCATATATTTTCTTTTCATATAAAAGTTGCTTACAGGTCAAATGCATATAAAAAAGAAAAAAAGAATGCACCCTATAAACTTTTATTCTTACAAGTATTTGATTTATAAAATAATTATTTTAACAATTAATTTTAGCATAATTTTTCAATTTAATAAAATTGCATTAAGCTACAGTAAAAACTTTTTATTTGTCTTCACAGACTTTACTGGATAATAAAAAAAATAAAACAAAACTATAAAATAATAAAACACTGACAATTAAAAACAAAAAAAAAAGGAACAATCAATTTAACCTGGTCCAATCCCAATATAATCTTCACCTTGCCAATAAGATAAATTATGACAGCATTCAAATCCCTAAAATTTTATTTACATAAACAAAATTATCTTTAATATCCCTATCTAAACTTTTACTGAGAGACTTAACTAATATGGTATGTAAAACAAGTTAAGCACAGTACTACCAGGGAATCTGGTGGGGATTGAACTTGAAATCTCTTAATTACAAAGCCAGCACCCTACTATTACAACACAGCTTCATAAAATTAGATTAGATGCATAATGTACAAAATGTTACTTGATACATGTTACCAGTGCAAAGTGTTACAGGATAAATCTGCACACACTACTAGTACTGTTATTAAAAATGCCATAATGGTTAGTTTATAAGACATTAACATCTTGTTTTTGTTATATATATAAAATATTAATAGACCACCTTTGTTGTTAACAAAATATTATAATGGTCTTTCTTTATGTCTACACTAATAGTGCAAATAATGCTTAACCTATGCAATATCAGTTCAACACTAGACCTAACCTATGCAATATCAGTTCAACACTAGAGGAAGAGTAAAGAGAGTTGCAAGAGTTAGTGACAGATCTTCATTAGAAAACTAATAAGCTGTATTTAACATTTTGTCCACATTTAAGATAAGTGTTTTTTTTTGGAAACAATGTTATAAATATTATTATTATTAAAAAACCTTAACTGTCATAAAATAACAAAAAATTCTAACAGTTAAAAAAGTTAAAAATCTTAGTAAAGATAATCACAAGACAAGACCTTACCTAATGAGAAGACCTTACCTAACTATGTGAATATATTAGGTAATATTAAACAACATTTTTATATTCTGATTTGTATCAAGAACTTATATTCAAACTTTGGAATTTAGTTAACAACTTACTCATCATCATCATCATCATCATCATCATCATCATCATCATCATCATCATCATCATCATCATCATCATCATCATCATCATCATCATCATCATCATCATCATCATCATCATCATCATCATCATCATCATCATCATCATCATCATCATCATCATCATCATCATCATCATCATCATCATCATCATCATCATCATCATCATCATCATCATCATCATCATCATCATCATCATCATCATCATCATCATCATCATCATCATCATCACAACTTATTCATCATCATCACAACTTATTCATCATCATCAAGCTTTCCATATTCAATAAATTTAGATGAACATTGTTCTGGAATTAAAATATACATATATCAAAAATTTGGAATATTTTTTAAAAGCCAGAAAAACCATCACCACTTTTCTTAATAAAATCTTCAAGTATTAAAAAAATTACTTGTTCAGCAAAATTAGAAACTTCATATCTTTTTATTGATTTTTCTTCTAACATCTAAAATTTAAAAAACTTCTTATAAATAAATAATATTGTTATTGAAATATTTTATAAATACTCTTATTTTATGAATATTTACAACACCATAATATGTGCTGAATGTGTTGAACATTTACAACACCATCACATGCGCTGAATGTGTTAAATATTCACAACACCATAACATGTGTTAAATAAGTTTTCATTTTAGTTATTAAAAATTTAAAAGGTTTGTTTTGATGTTTAATGTAATTATTTTATTTAGAAAACGTTTGTTTTGATGTTTAATGTAATTATTTTATTTAGAATTTAAATAAAACTTTTGTTTTTCTGTTTTTATTTTAACTATTTTGTTTAAAATTTATATAAAATAATTATTTTTTTTTGTGCTGTTTTATCAAGAATTTAGATAAAATTTGTTCTATCTTTTTTCTTTTTAATTATATCATTTAGAATTTATTCAAAACATTTATTAAGCTGTTTTTAATAGATTTTATATAGCAAATAAAAATGAATTTTTAAAATGGTGTGTGCCAATCTAAAAGTGACCACCAATCAGCGCTTGCCATATATATATATATATATATATATATATATATATATATATATATATATATATATATATATATATATATATATATATATATATATATATATATATATATATATATATATTCTAGTCATTATTATTGTGGTTTTTTTTAAAAACAATATATATTATATATATATTGTTTTTAAAAAAAACCACAATAATAATGACTAGAATTTTTTTTAATTAATGGTGTTTTTGTTGTTGTTTTATTAAAATATATTTTTAAAACATGCACAGAACATTGCTATATTGACTATCTTATAGCCTGACACAACAGAGTGCTGCTACATTGACTGACAAATAGCCTGACTCGTAAGGGAGTGCAGTTACATCAACTGAGGGTTTGGTTTGGGCAGGCAGTCTATTATTTAAGAAAAAAAATAAAAAAATTTAAGTTTTTACACTTTTTCTGGTATGGTTTATTAACGCGCTCTTTAAAACTACAGTTTATGGGAAAAACCTTCCATGCAAGACTATATATATATATATATATATATATATATATATATATATATATATATATATATATATATATATATATATATATATATATATATATATATATATATATATATATATATATATATATATATATATATATATATATTAGGGTGATTCAGAATGATAGAACTTTCAAAACAAAAGTACGTATCTCAATAAATTTGGTGCAAATATATAGAAAGTACGTTTTAAAGCATACAGGGCATTTTCTGACCACTCTAGACCCTCATTTTTGTGAAAAAAATGTCAATTTGTTTTTTCAAAAGTTGCCGATTTCTGTGACGTTGTGGGAGGGTCTAATATAAACCAAGTTGGCTAAATTAAAAAAAAAGGGCTTAGACTACATATATTTTGCATTTAAAATCATACGTATTTTTGTTTTGGATTTATTACCAAGCATTTTTTATTCAAATTATACATTAATTCACAAAATTGGTGTGGTTGTTGTGATACTAAAAAAGCATTTGGAGTATACCAGTACATTTTTTCTAATAACAGGACCATTGAACCGACCTTTAAAGTGAAGAGGGGGAGGGGCTTTTTTTAATTTTATATATATAAAAAACAAGGTCCTCAAAAAAAAAAAAAAAAAAAAAAAAGGAGGGGGGCATGCACCTCCCTTCCCCCCTTCCTACCCAAACTTGATGGCTATGTGTAATAAAAATATTTTTTGGTTGATAATATTGTAAATTGCTTTTTACTTCAATTAGTAATGTATTTGCCTTACTTCTCCCCTCACCCTTACCTACCCCCGGGTCCCTCCTCATTTTTTTACTAATTAAAAATTGATTCAAGTTTTTACGTCAAAACCAATTTTTAAGTTACTCACGCTAATTATGATAAAAATTAGGTTTTCTATTTACCTTAAAAAAATTTTTTACTTTTGTAGGTTTTTATTTACATAAAAACCTACAAAAGAAAAAAAAAAAGTTTTCTAATCACTTTTGAATTTCTTGAAATTGATAATGTTATTTAAACCTATTTCCTTATTCCTTTCAGTCATCTTGCTGGAGCTTTCCTCAAGTTTTTTCATGGCATAACGAACTTTGTCTATGGTTACCAGTCTCATTTGTTTTTCTTCTTCACTAATGTATCTATGGATAAGCTCCTGTATCATGCCACATTTGTGCCAGAAAGATGGAAGTGACAACCAATCACATATTCTCTCTTCTGTAAACCCATTTACTGCAAAAATAAAGTAGAAAAACTTGTTAACTAATACCGCAAAATTTGGTGGATTACTAGCCATTGTGCTATTTAGGTTGATTATTTCTTTGATTCGGCTTATTTTCAATTTTGTAATCAGATGTCTTTAAAGATGCCATTTTGTAAGATAACATTGATTTGGCGATTAGTGTTTTATCTTTATCAGGAACTTTATAATCTAGAAGCGACAGAGGTATCAAAGTTGAGTCTAAGTACCAAGAGTGTTTTAATATTGAGTCAATGACTTTATCTACAGCTTCTTTTACTTGGCAAACATCTATATACAGAATAATTTGATGTAGAGTTGTAATTTCAAGGTATGGGGCTTTAATCCGATTGTGGCTTTGCAAGTACCATGGTGCATAAAAACAAGTTGCGTTCCTAAACCATATAGGTTTTTATTACAATAGTATTACCAATACTATATAAATAGTACAAATAAGTGCACATTATTTATCTTACAGAGTATAATAGTGTGATGGATTGGTGTTGATATTGAGATGAAAATGTGTTTTAGTGACCATGACTTCTTTTCATGTAAATACAAAATATTATAAAACCGAATCGATAACTGTACATTATTTTTATTTCTATGCAACACATACCTGAAATAGTAGGCCTAGCTTTATCAATAATATGAAAAATTGTTTAAGAAGATCTCAAACTGTTATTGCACAAAATCTTGTGTTTCTGATAACTCATATCAATACTTGTTCAGTTACTTAAATTTTTATTTTGAATTTTAAAATTCAAAGTCAAATATATATAAATTTCAAATTTTAAATCGATGTAGTGGCTTCATATTAATTGTTTTTTATTTAAAAATAAATTCATATGAAACTTTAGTAAAAGAACATGAAGTGTAATGGTTTGCTATTTATTTTATTTTGGGAAATGCCAGGCAAAGGGGGAAGGAAGAATGTGAAGGAAACTTACCTTTAAATGCGTAACTAATTAAAGTAGCAATCAATATACAATATTTTAAACCAAAAAACATTTTTATTATATAAAAAAAAATGTACTTGTATACTCCAAAAGCTTTCTTAATATCACAACTAAAGTCATAAATTTTACGAATTTATGGATAATTTGAGTAATAAATGCTCTGTAATAAAACAAAAACAAATATACGTATGATTTTAAATGCAAAATATATGTAGGCTCTTTTTTTTTTTTAATTCAGCCAAACTGGTTTACATAAGACCCTTCCTCAATGCCACAGAAATCAAGAATCTTCGACAAAAAAATTGACATTTTTTAAAATAAAAATAAGCCTTGAGGGAGGGTCTAGAGTGGTCAGAAAATGCCTGGTATGCTTTAAAACCTACTTTCTAAAATTCTCTCTTTCTGAGGCACTCTAATATATATATATATATATATATATATATATATATATATATATATATATATATATATATATATATATATATATATATATATATATATATATATATTAGGGTGATTCAAAAAATAACTTTTTTAAAAATAGTCTCCTGCTCTTAACTAAATGTGTTCTATATAATACAAAAACACTAGGTTTAAAATTTTTTTGAATAAAAAATATTTTTAGGGGTGCCTCAAAACCCTTAAATATTTGACAGGTCCCTAATATTTTGAAAAAAATAGTTTTTCTAAAGAATGACAACCTGGTACTCAAAAGAAGCGAAATTATATAAAAACTTGAAAAATAATAATCAATTTACATAAAAAACATGTTTTAATAAATTATTTTAAAAAAACTTGAAAATATTGCCTTTTTTTATTATCACCTTAAAAACAATAATTTTTAGGCAATTATACCTAAAAAAATATTTTTATATAAATTGATCATTATTTTTGAAGTTTTTATATAATTTCGCTTCTTTTGAATACCAGGTTGACATACTTTTAAAAAACTTTTTTTTTCAAAACATTAGGGACCTGTCAAATATTTAATGGTCTTAAGGCACCTCTAAAAGTATTTTCTATTCAAAAAAATTTTAAACCTAGTGTTTTTGTATTATATAGAACACATTTAGCTAAGAGCAGGAGACTATTTTTAAAAAAGTTGTTTTTTGAATCTCCCTAATATATATATATATATATATATATACAGTGCTTGAAGTGAGGCGGGATGCCATCCTTTTTCCTTTTTAAAGTTTAAGAAACATCACTTTACCTTTTTTAGTGTTTATCGTTGGGCGGGATGCCTTCCCGGTTCATAATATATTTATAAAAATCTCATTTACTTTTTTTTTCTATTAAAAATGTAAAAGCAATTGTTCAGGTAAGTTTTGGCTTTGAGCAAATTAACATTTCAGCTGTTATTAACGTCATACAATAAAGTTCAATAATAAAGTCTAAATTTACAAATTAATGTGTTTTTCCTTCTTCATTTCAAAACAAAAGTTACTAATAACAACCAAAATTAAAGTCTTTTGTTGGCATTCTTTTTTTCAAAATACTTTTTTTTTTGTGTGGAATGAAATATTGGACGCATTTGACATTAAACATTTCGAGTTAAAATATTATTTATTGCTAAGTGTAAATATGGATAAATGGTTAGCAAGCAGTACGAAAAGAAAATTAAGCGCGATTGCTCTAAAAGTAATTCGAATGACGCCACTGAAATAAATAAAGAAATCGATTTGTCGATTATTGAACCTCGCATATCCTATCCTCAATGCAATGAAACATTTTTTCCAGATTGCTGGTCTGATATACAATGAAAGGAAAAATT